TAAGTGCAAGTCGAGCGATCCACGCCACTTCATGATGGTCGAAGGAACGTTGGTCGAGTCCGAGGATCCACCTTCATTCGGCGATGAGTTCATGGACGAGAAAGTGGCTCACATCGAGGTCGAGTTTGAAGAAGACGAGGTGGTCGAGGTGAATCGTGAGGAGGAGATGCACGTGGAGGACGTGGAGTTCGATGTTGAGAGTAAGGGTATGGTCGAGGTCAATGGGGACCGTGAGTGGGATGCGCACGAGATCGGAGATGATGTGCCCGAGGTTTGGATGGTCGAGGACCAGTCCTTGAGGACAAGGACATTCTCAAAGGGCGCGAGAATGATGCGGAAGTGAATTTCGAGCCCCGATGACGAGAAGGTCCAAGTGCCGAGACGACCCGAGGAGGTTGAAAATAGGGCCAAAATGATTCACGCATGGCCTAAGATACGGGTGCGAGCACGTATACGAGGCGAACAAGCACTTAAGAAGCGCTACAAGTCCATGCGAACACGAGGAAGTCGATGATGTCTCATGTAAAAGAGCGGGTACGCGTGAAAGGACTCGTGCATTTACAAGGACACCGCGCGAGAAAGCGCGAGGGAGAGTGCAAGGACGTGATGCACGAGTGCACGAGGCGAACTGTGTGAGCCAAGAATCGAACAAACACGGGACGAATATACGAGGGTTGAGCAGGAGAGGGTCGAAGCTCGTAGGTCAAGGGATAGCGTGCGACCAAGCAGTGGAAGAGTCTGCGGGTTGGACGCGCGATCACACAAGTCGGCCAAGGAAGGTCGCGTATGGAGGTATGCAAGGGCACGCATAAAGGTGGTCCATAAGTGGGCGACAATCGGGCGTAAGAAAGGGCGCATTAGACAAGGGCGAGAATATGCGCATTGGCGTAGACGCGCATGGCGCTTGGAGATTAGGCAAAGTGTCGCGCAGGGGGTGGATGTTGGGTGCTTGATGCGCGCGAGGGACTGTTGTAGATGGGCGAGCGCGAGCGAGCGTGCAGAAGGGTCGGGTGACGAGCGAGGCGCGCCGGGCGAGCAAGGCGCACTGGCGACACGCGCGAGGTTCAAGTCAAGACCAGGGTGACAAGCCTAATCCTTATATGAATAGGCAAGGCGCGAATACTAAACCCCGCAGGACTAGGAAAAGTAGCTGAGTGTTGGAACGCGCGTGAAAGATCGGTGATGGGAGTAATCCTTGGACGATCAGGCAACGTAGCCGGGAGCATATTCCTAGTATGAATAGGCAAAGTGGATATGGGCTCGAAGCATGAACCTTCAAGGAATATGAGTGGCGTACGCATGGCGCGAGACCTTAAGCCTCGAGACGAGAGGACATACACCCATGGGCGAAGGCGGTGTAGCCCTAGTCCTCGAGGGCTAGGGCGAGGCGCGAGGGCAGCGCAAGACCGAGGCGGTGGACGACTAGGGCGGTTAGGGTTTCTATGCTTAGAGTGCAAGGCAAGGATTTGGAGTGCAAGCCAAGTAATTACGAGATCTAGTAGATTTAGGATTTTATGGTAGTAGAAGATGTTAGGATATTTAGTTGCCTTAGGATTTATATTCTTGCATGATTTAGGAGTTCTAGTTGGAGTAGGATTAGGGTAATTTAGGATCTATAAATAGGGGTCTTCCCTCATTGTTTTTAATGTCTTGGATTTGATGAGTTGAATAGAAAAAAACATTTGTTCATCCATGTGTTTAATATTCATGAGAGTGTTATCATACAACCGAGGGAAGCGAGGCTAATTACCGAGTGAACTCAAGTTCGTGAGAGAGTTAGGCTAATAACCGAGTCGATCACACCTATCAGTCAAGGGCGAGCTGTGGCGAAGCTTTGTTCGATGCAAACGAGTGGAACAAACACACGATCCTTCATCAATGGGTGACAGCGCACGCGACGGCCGAAGGGGCACAACTTATTTTTGCTGCAGAGAAATTCTGAACAGAGGCCAGCTGGCGACGCCGGTGTGTGAGTGAGACTCCGACGGTGGCGGGATGTTTAGACAGGAATGACGTGAGCGGCGGCGGTAGGGGTGGTTGTGGTGAAACGATGGTGGCGGACGTGTTTTTTCTATGTGATAATTACATGTGTGTGTGTTAGAGTGTGTATGTAAGAGAGAAAGAGAGAGAGAGAGAGAGAGATGAGAGATACTGTAACGTGGAAAGAGAATTGGATTGGTTGGTTTGTGTTGTTTGATTTATGATGGGGACCACATGTTATTAATTGGTTGTGTATGTTGTAAATACCAATTTAACCTTAATGAGTGTGAAGAATAAGCATTTTTTTGGCATTATATCATCCGATCTAATGTCTACGATTAATTCTTATTTCATTCACTAAGCATCATTGTCATGTGAACCCAACCATATATACATATATAGGGATGGGTTCACATGAGAATGGTACTTAGTGAAAGAAATGAGAATAAATCTCAGCCATTAGATCGAATAATCCAACGGCTACAAAAAGACAAAATTTTATACTCATTAAGGGTAATTTAGACATTATTATAACAATTTAATTAACTAACTCATCAGTGGTCCCACGCCAAATCATCACACCCTCCACACCACAACACACTTACACACACGCCATACACACTCACACCACACACACACACGCACACTTCAGCACACACAAAACAGATGCACACACACATACATACACATATATACAAACACATGCACAGATACACAAACACACACAATCTCAGACGTCTACCGATCAACCTCCGCCTCTTCTACCCGCCAGCCTCTGCCTTCACCGCCGGCCAACCTCAGCATCGGCCTGCGGCCAACCTCAGCATCGGCCTGCGGCCGACCTCCGCAACCACCGTCAATCACTGTCATACTGTTCCTCTCCAGCGACCACTGACAACCACATCCTATGTCTGTCAATGCCACCGCCACCACCTTCATCCTCTGCCTGCACAAACAACAGACGCGGAGTACTTTCACAGATATGTGTCCGTCAGATTCCTCTCGCAGGTCGGCCCGAGCGCCCCTTTATAGTCCAGTCGACGTACAGAGTTCCAGCTCGTCTAACTGCCATGACAGAGAACCTGGCGAGCGGACATCAACGATAGTGCAACCACAAGAGTTCGTGATGGTGGCGGAAGACGGCCCGATGCCAGAGGTGTCTACATTTATCAACTTTGTTGGGGGTGGAGGTTTTCCAACGACAGCGGAGACACGGGCAGAGCACGCAGTGGCAGGAATGAGAGGAGGCCAAGGGGTTAGGGGTGGCGCATATGGGTCAGGGGTGGCGCATATGGGCTGTCAAGATTTAATTAGGGATTGCAATTTTTTTTTTAGTTGTAATTTTGAGAATTAGGTAAAATTGAGGGTGTAATTTCAGATTTTTGATTATTTTTCAATTTAGCCTATAGACCAAATCTGGAAGTTATAAAAAATATATTAAAAACTATTATCTTTAATATATTTTTTTATACATATATTTATGAAGTTCTTTCAAGCAAAATTAATATAAAATGTTAAATAAACATATTAGCATACTAAAAATATTTTTTATAATAATAATAAATTACTTCAATTACTTAGGTTAATTGGGATTAACCAACAGAATAACTCTCGGTTTCGATCTCCTGTGTGCAATCCGATAATCGTGATAAAGTGCAACGTATTATTTTGTAAAGTGCAATATTTTTTTTATAAAGTGCAATGTGATAGTGTATTAGTCGAACTATAAAGTGCAACATATTGTTTTGTAAAATGTTGTGTGTTGTTTTATTAAGTAAAACGTGATAGTGTATTAATCAAACTATAAAGTGTGACGTATTGTTTTGTAAATTGCAATGTGATATTTTACAAAGTGCAACGTGATAATGTATAAGTCGAATACTGTAATTTTTAACAATATTTATAATTATTAATAATATTTGGAATAATATATAAAAAATATTATATTAGTACAAAAATTAATACGTTTTTTCAACCAAAAAAAAGATATATATACGATTAAAAGAAATATTAAAATATGAACAATGTTTAACAACATAGGAAATATATTATTCATTCATTTAAGTTCATTCGGTTAACTGACCAATATTATAAGTAGTTCGGCTCGGGTCCAATTTAGTATAGGACAAGAAATATAGGTAAGTTCCCACCGCACAATATCAATGGAAACGTGAACGATACTGTTATACGAATTGCACGTTAAATATTGTCTGAAAGTACTGAAGATTGGCAGTAAATCGATGAACCTTTTGATGTTCGCAGAGACCAGAATACCGAAGTATTTAAGGGAAGTTTATTTTTGGTATGAATAAGTCTTATTTTTAATTAAGTTCACAGGACTGATTATTTACGTTTTATTATGGCAGGACCTTGGGCTTGAGGGGGAGATACGCTTTCCATATTCTAAAGAAAAGGAGAATCAGAAAATTCACCTTCCATAATTGTAAAAGGAGAATCGCGAGAGTATCATTCCTTATATGCGTTTGCCTTGGATGAGAAGTTTTTTAAAAAAGAATGTTGAAGATAAAAGGAGGACGAGACCAGAGTTGAGGATGACTTTTGATATCTTTTGTTTAGTTATTTTCTTTTCTTTCGGGAGTAAAAAAGAGTGATACTTAGAATATTTTGTAAAAGAACGTTCGGAGGCTCGTTCTTATAGTTTGAGGGATTCGAACTAGAAAATCCACAAGGGAGTTGTGGTCAGATAAGTAGTTGTGTGAATCATCAGTCAAGTAGAGTGTAGAGGGAGTCTATACTGTAAACCCTTGGATGATGTATGAGTTGTTCACATTAATGAAAGAGATCTAAAGGGAGAGTGGGATGCTCTCCTGAAGATTCAATTTTTAGTGAAAAACTGCTTCCGCAATTGTTTGAATCTTCATTACAGTCTGTTTATTCTATTTACGTGCAACTCTGGGTACTTGGTGGTCAAGTATCAAATTTCAATTGGCACCAGAGCAGGTTTTCGTCTTCATTACGAAAGATCCTAGGACATCTGTTCCCCCAAATCATGAATCAAGAAAGCGGATCGATGTCCAGACCTCCGCAATTGAACGGTTCGAACTACTCATATTCGAAGTCTGAGATGACAATCTTTTTCAGATCGCTTGGAAAAGGCGTGTGGGAGAGTGTTGAAAATGGCTGGGAGTATCCAGTCATTCCACAAGCACCCGATCAAGGTAAAGAAACAACAACGAACGTCACGGTTTCTAAACCTACGGACAACTGGACTGATGCTGAGAAGCTTCAAGAAGAAGCCAGCTATCGTGCCTTATATGCGATCATGATGGCAGTTGATCAGACAAGACACAAGATGATAGTACATTGCAAAACTGCTAAAGATGCTTGTAGGATCTTACAGCGTCAATTTGAAGGTTCAACGGCTGTCAAAGCGTCCAGACTTCAACGGGTAACTCTTGAATTTGATGAGATAAAAATGAGAGATGAAGAGACAATTGACGTATACTATGCCAGATTTTGTGATTTGGTAAACCAAAGCATGATGCTTGGAGAAGAAATCTCTGAAAAATGTCAAGTTCAGAAGATTATGAGAACCGTTGTTCCCAGGTTTAGAGAGAAAATCACGGCTCTTGAAAGTTTTCAATTAGTGGCGTCATTGGATGTTGATGAACTTCTTGGAGAGCTCAGAACTTTTGAAATCAACAACAATTATGACAAAGTGATGAGTAAAGGCTTAGCCCTCAAAGCTGCTGTAGTTGAGGAAAGAGAAGAAAGCGATGATGATGAAGGTCCGTTGGCAGATGATAGTGAGCTGAAGGAAACACTAGACTTAATTGCGCGAAACTATGAGAAGATGAGTCAAAGGCTGTACAAGAACAAATTTGCTGGAAAAAAGGGGAACAGCTTCAGCAAGAATGTAGTGCAGGACAAGAAAAGTACTATGCCACTCTCAAAATGCGATTCACAACGAGTCGAGAAGGATCAATGCAGGGAGTGTCGAGGCTTTTGACACTTCCAGTTTGAGTGTGCTAATCTCAAGAAGAAGAACAAGTCACTGAAGGCAACCTGGGAAGACTCAGATGAAGAGGGCACAGACGAACCTTCGTTGCACACAAACAACCTAGCAGTTCATACCTCAGTCAAGAAGTTCATGTGTCTCACCACCTCTCATACTCCGACCAATTTTGAAGAAAGTTTGAAAGAAACTGAAGCATCTGAGGATGAATCAGATCAAATTGTGTTTGTAGATCCAGTTCACTTGCTTGCTATGGAAAAGTGCGCTCAAGCATCTGAGGCTCTACATAAGCTTCAAAATGAAGTGTTTAGACTTTCGAGAGCAAACAAGGTGCTGAACGAACAAGCATCCGCCTCCACTGCTACTAAAGAATGTGAACTGGATACTGCTAAGGCACGAACTTGCATCCTAGAGAGCAGTGTCAAACTTGCTAAACAAGACGCTGGAGAAGGCTCAGACCATTGAATGCTTGAGGAATGAACTATTCTCTACTCAGAAACTTCTTGCCGAGCGGAACCAGGAAATTGTTCTACTGAAAAATGAAGCTGATCGGATGATGAACGAACATGCTAGCATGGAAAGCAAACTGAAGGCAAACTCTGCTGAGTTGAACCGAACTACAGAAGTTGTTCGAAAATTGAACAAGGGAAAAGCAGATCTGAATGAACTTCTTTTCTTGAGAAGACAACATGGAGATCTCACTGGAATAGGGTACACTAGTAGGGAAGACTTTCCTGAGTCCTCAACTGGAGCTTCAAATGCAAAACATACTCGTCTTGGATTTTGTGACAAACCTGGAGTTGGAGGCTTGAACCTCCATGGGAGACATTCCAGAAACGTGTTTGACAGGTTTGTAAAAAGCACTGTAAGTAAATCTCCATCTCCACAATCTCCCTTGAAGGTACATTCACCCAAGCAGAAATCTGTTATTAATACTCACCATAACTTTGTTTCTATATGTCATTATTGTGGTGTAACTGGTCACATAAAACCTAAATACTATAAAATGCAGCATGACCTTTGTACAGGAAAAGTTAGGAGTTGGAATCAGTCTGGCATTCAAGTGAAGGTCCATTCCAGGATTCTCCCAAATAACCGTACCAAAACGCATCAAGTGTGGGTTGCTACGAAATCCTTCAACTGTTTTGCATCTGTTCTGTCCCTCAGGACTTCTCTGGAAGGTAAATGGTATCTGGACAGCCGCTTCTGTAGACACATGATTGGTGAACCTTCATACTTGAAGAACATTCAACCTAGTTCAAATGGGGAAGTCACATTTGGTGACAGAGTGAGCAATAAGGTTATTGGAACTGGTTGTTTAAATTTGGGAGGAATACCTAAACTAACTGATGTGTTACTTGTTGATAAGCTAAAGGAAAATCTTTTGAGTGTGAGTCAACTCTGTGATCAAGGCCTCAGTGTCAGTTTCTCATGTGATAAATGTTATGTGAAAGACAGTGAAGGTTCTTGTGTACATACAGGTTCTCGTTCAACGGATAACTGTTATCTTGTTGATGTTAATGAAAAATGCCTTTTCTCAAATGTGAGCGAACCTGAAATATAGCATCAACGCTTAGGGCACATTAGATACTCTCACCTTGTCAGATTGACTAATGCAGGTGTAGTCAGGGGTGTTCCAAAGATTGTTGTGAAGGACCAGCCAATTTGTGAACCTTGTCAGCTAGGTAAGCAAACGAGGACATCCCACAAGGCACTGAAATATATTGCTTTTAAATAGATCCTAGAACTTCTTCACATGGATCTCATGGGTCCCATACAGGTAAAAAGTTATCAAGGTAAAAAGTACATTTTTGTGTGCGTTGATGATTTCTCTCGATATACTTGGGTTGATTTTTTGCGTGAAAAGTCTGATACATTCTCTGCTTTTAAGTCACTTTGTTTGAGGGTTCAAACTGAGAAAGGTTTTCCCATAATAAATATTCGAAGCGATCATGGAAGAGAATTTGAAAATTCTGAGTTTGCTGAATTTTATGATACTCTTGGTATTAAACACAAGTTCTCGGCTCCTAAAACTCCTCAGCAAAATGGAGTTGTTGAAAGGAAGAATCGCACTCTACAAGAAATGGCCAGAGTCATGTTGAACTCCAAAAACATTTCTTCCAGATGGTGGGCTGAGGCAATCAATACAGCATGCTACCTCGTGAATCGTGTGTACCTTCGTCGAGGTATTGGTCTGACTTTATATGAACTCTGGAAAGGTAAGAGTCCTAACCTCAGTGTCCAACTTGAGAAGTTCGATGCAAAATTAGATATTGAATTCTTTCTTGGTTACTCTAACAATAATCGAGCGTATCGTGTTTACAACACTAGTACCTCCACTTTGATTGAGACCATAAATGTAATTTTTGATGAAAAAAATTCTCAAGTCAGTTCCTCTGTATCCTTTAATCAGTTTGAAAATGTTAAGGCATTGCAGGATACTCAGGGTGTTAAGAGCTCTACAGACAAGGAGATAATTGAACCATCAGTCGAGAATGCTGAAGCATCAACTGACTGCATTATCCCTGCGACCCAAGAAGGTTCTGAGTTACCTAGGCGTGATCCTCCATTAAGGGTTCAGAAAGATCATCCACCCGAGCAAGTCATTGATGACATAAACGAGAGAGTTAGGAACTCGAAGACGTCAGTCAAAGAACTTATGGGTGTCTCTCATTATGCTTGCTACACCTCACTCCTTGAACCCAAGAATGCTAAAGAGGCCCTGAAAGATGAGTGCTGGATCTTAGCCATGCAGGAGGAACTGGAACAATTCGCTAGAAACGATGTCTGGGAGTTAGTACCTGAACCTTCCTCAGGAAATATTATCGGAACCAAGTGGATCTTCAAAAACAAAACTGACGAGTTCAGGAATGTTACCCAGAACAAGGCGAGACTAGTTGCTCAAGGCTACACTCAGACTCAAGGAATTGATTTGATGAAACCTTCGCCCCTGTTGCTAGACTTGAATCGATACGCATATTTCTATCTATTGCATGTCTAATGAAGTTCATTGTCTACCAGATGGACGTGAAGTCTGCCTTCCTGAATGGGATACTACATGAAGAGGCTTACGTGAAGCAGCCAGAAGGGTTTAAATATCCCAAGAATCCGAATCATGTTTACAGGCTTAAGAAAGCATTGTACGGATTAAAGCAAGCCCCTCGCGCGTGGTATGAACGCCTTACCATGTACCTTCTAGAAAAGGGATTCAAGAGAGGAGGAGTAGATCAGACATTCTTTGCTCTTCAAATGAATGAGGACCTATTGGCTGTCCAAATCTATGTCGACGACATCATCTTCGGATCAACTTCCAAGAAGCTGGTCAATCACTTTGTGAAACTTATGTCGTCTGAATTTGAGATGAGTCTAGTTGGTGAACTTTCGTACTTCCTTGGACTTCATGTAAAGCAAGGTAAAGATGGTATTTTCTTGCATCAAGGTAAGTATGCATAAAATCTTGTTAAAAAGTTTGTCTTGAAAACGCTAAGTGTCCTCAAACTCTCATGGGCACTCATGTAAAAGTGTCCAAAGATGATGAAGGTTCATCTGTTGATCAAACTCTATACAGAAGTATGATTGGTAGTCTTTTGTATCTCACTGCTAGTAGACCTGACATTTGCTTTAGTGTTGGATTGTGTGCCAGGTATCAGGCTGCCCCCAAAGAATCACATATGAAAGCATTCAAGCACATCATAAAGTACATTAGAGGTACAACAGAGTATGGTCTATTCTACTCTACTGATACGAACTTACATCTTGCAGGTTATTGTGATGCTGGTTGGGCTGGAAATCTTGATGATCGAAAAAGCACCTCTGGTGGGTGTTTTTACATAGGATTAAACTTGGTATCTTGGTTCTGCAAGAAACAAAACTGCATCTCCCTGTCTACTGCTGAAGCCAAGTACATTGTCGCTGGAAGCTGCTGCTCTCAGTTGGTATGGATGAAAAAGATTCTATCTGAGTATGGAATGAACGTTCAATTGGCTCAACTCTTCTGTGACAACACTAGTGCTATAAACATTTCGAAAAATCCTGTCCAACATTCTCGTACCAAGCATATTAACATTCATTATCATTTTATTCGTAATTTGGTAGAAGATGGGGTTATTGTGTTAGATCATGTACCTACAGATGATCAGCTTGCTGATATTTTCACTAAAGCTCTTGATTCAAAACGATTTTTGTCCTTGAGAAAATCTTTAGGAATGTGTGCTATATGATTTATATGTAATGTGTCAGTTGCATTTATATATATATCGTGTCTATTGCATATAAGAGTTTTTTTTCTTCGTTTTAGGCATCTTAGTATTTAGGTTCATCCCTGGAACTCTTCTCTGATCATTTATTGTTAAATTTATTGATTATTGGTCTGTGAATTCTAACTGGTCAGTTTGTAAGAGCTCGTCATGATGACAATTTTAATATACTTGTAAGAGTTGCTCTCGTGAAAATAGGTATCGGGCAACTATCACATGAGGTGCTTCTTTTATCACCTGTGAAACGATTTACGTGTCTAATAATAATCGAGGTGTGATAGCTACAGGTAAACATTCTAAGAATGAACGTTCTGTGGTGAAATAAGGTCGGCCATCCTGATATCTTCTCAGCTTGTTCAAAATTGAAACTTTTTGCGGGATGATTCACACCTCAAGTAATGGGCTTGACATTGGCGTATAGTTGATGTTAGCAAGTGAATTGGTGTGGAAGTTCTTAGAACAGAGTAAGTTCATCAAAAGTATTGGGGCTGAATTGCGAACGAAAATTTCGTTTTTTGCTAAGAGAAAGTGATGAACGAACTTATATTAATTCCGTGTTATATAAAAGTGGGAGCAATAAGGGCTGAGTTGTGTACGAAGAGAATATATTTTCTCATCATCTTGTTAGTGTCGAGCTCGCCTCAAATTGATTTGGAAAGATTTATGGGCCAATCAATTAATGAATCTTTTTAATATTGCGTGAAAAGAAAATTTTAGGGTATTGCGTGTTATGTATATATTTTAGGCATGTGCATCCAGTTTTTTTTCATGACAGATATTATTTCGATTTTGCGCCTTAAATTAGTTTTGGTACATGATTTGGCTGATATTCATGTCTGAAACTTCATATGTTATATATGGTAACCATGTTGCAACTTGGTATCAAATTTTTTGTTTTGGAGGGAACAGTTTTTTTTACTGCACTAAATGTTGGTCAAATTTGAATTTCAAATTGGCCGAGTCGAACCGTTTTCAAACCATTCTCGATATGCAGTTCCCTATATCAATCATACCACATTGTGCATCTCTCTCTCATATCTATTTCAATCTTTTATTTTTGTTATCTCTCCCATCTCTTTAACATTCCTTCTTCACGAAATTCCCTATTTTTCGACAATGCCTAAATCCAAGCAGGGCACCGTGAAGCCGAAGAAGAATGTTCCTCCGCCATCTCGGCGCTCAACTCGTCAAAGCCAAAGTTTCGATACTCCACCAGATCCAAATCCTTCAACCATGGAAACCGAGAACATTCAACCTCCCGTCAAATCTACAACTAGAGTTTCTCCAAGCCCTAAAAAATCCTCAACGACTAAAGCTTCTCAAACTGAGGTCGCCGAACCCAGTGATAAAGGAGGTAAAGGTTCTCCGTCTGTCGTCAAATCTCCAAAGAAACGCAAGAAGGTCGCCGAAACTGTCGCACCCAAAACCAAAAAGGCGAAGAAAGTCGATCATGTGCTTGAACCTGCTGCTGGTACTCCTTCTCACACGAAATCTGGAGGAGAGTCATCTCTGGATTCTGATGCTGATTCTATTGAACGTGGGTTACCAACTATGTTGCTGAACCTGAGAAATCTGACAACAAACATGCTGTAGACAAGGAACTTTCTCCTCTTGAAAAAGAACAAATGGTTGCTGAAGTCGAGGGTGATGGTCCAGACAGTCCTCTTACTGTTGGTAATGCATTTTCTCGTCAGTTTTATTCTCTTTTAGCTGAAACACGCTTTTCTACCATCTTTTCTCAAATGAAGTTTCGTCCGGAGCGGACGATTGATAGCGAACACTATGAACAACTTGGGTTGATTGAACTTCTGAAGAAAGTGGGTCTTGAGGGCTCAGTTACGTCTGTTGGAAAGTATTGTCCCAGGCTTGTTGGTGAATTTAATTCGAACCTGACTACCTCTATCGTTGATTCGTCCTCAAAGAAGTTTCAGAAAGTGTTTGTGCGTAATAGTGTGGTTGAATTCTCTCCGTCTGTTGTGGACTCTATACTGGGTTTAGCTGAAGGTTCCTCACTTCGTCCTCTGACTGATGATCTTGATGAAGTTGCTCGCACCTTAACTGGTGAACAGCTTAGCAAATGGCTTGCTCCGGGAATCTTTATGAAAAGTCTGACTCCGCCTGCCAATGCTCTACAGAAGATAGGCGCGTCAAATTGGACTCCTACCACTCACAAGCAGTTTGTCACCCCTACGCAAGCTCGTGTTATCTATCGTAT